TAAGTCGAGACTTTTACTGGCCCCGCCAGTATCAGTTTGTGCGAAAGTATGTTCGCGCATGCGAAGTCTGCCAACGAGTGAAGTCAAGTCCTTCACTGCGTGCACCTTTACAGCCTCTACCGGTTCCGGCTGAGTGCTGGGAATCCATCTCAATGGATTTCGTCTTCGGGTTACCCAAAGACGCACGCGGGAATACGGGTATTCTCGTATTTGTTGACAGATTCAGCAAAATGGTACACCTTGTGGCTGTACCAGAGTCAATCACGGCAAGTGGCTGTGCTTGTGTCTTTATTGACACCATCTTCCGACTTCATGGGTTGCCCCGTGAACTCGTATCAGACAGAGATCCACGATTCACTGCTGATTTCTGGCGTTCCGTGTTCAAATCACTCGGAACGCGCTTGAAGATGTCAACATCTGATCATCCAGAGTCAGATGGTCAGACGGAACGTGCCAATCGTGTCCTTGAAGAGATACTTCGAGGATACGTACACTCCTTTAAGAGTTGGAGTGAGTTTTTGCCAATGGTAGAGTTTGCCATCAACAACTCGGTGCATGCGTCCACGACACATACACCGTTTTACGTGAATGGCTTGCGCCATCCGCGTGTACCCACCTTACTAGAGTGTAACTCTGGTTTAAGGGGGAGGGGACTCGCGCGAGCAAAAACCGATTTGGTTCACGCTCATCACGCTCTGACGAAGAAGTCATTGCGTTTGATGCCGATATCGATAACATCAATATCGAAGAAGATGATGCCAGTGAGAGTGCGGAAGCCCTCACTGAAGACAATGATCCCAGTGAGAGTGCGGAAGCCCTCACTGAAGAAAAGGTTGTTGTCGCTGCAGTGCGCTCACAGCACACTGAAGCTAACGAGTCATCAGATGAGTTCATACTGGCTCGTGAAACGGTAGTCCGTTTTGTGCAAGACTCCATCGCCGAAGCGGTGGATAAGCAAAAGCAAAACGCTGACAAGAATGGAAGGGCAAACACTCTTTTATTTAATAAAGGTGACTTAGTCCTACTGTCTACGGTTAATCTACCAAAACATGTAGTGACTAACTTGGGTAGCAGTAAACTACTACCCAAGTACATCGGCCCATTTCGTGTATTGCACCGCCTAGGCAATGCATACACGATCGAGTTACCACGTAAGATGCGGACGCATCCCACGTTTTACGTTGGTCGGCTTAAGCCGTACCATCAGTACGCTGCTTCTTCCGATGAAGAACGCCCTTGCGCTCAAGCATCTCGCAGAGAGCCTTGTGCTCCCGATGGTGGGCATCAACAAGGGTCTGAAGAGCAGTTATCTCAGCCCGAGACCGATCAACAATCCCACGAGCTACCCTTAGCTCGTCACGAAGAGATGTCAGAGATCTCTCGTTCTCAAGCTGAGCAAAGGCAAACTCAGCTCGATGCTTCGAGGCAGTGTCCACCATCTGGAGACGCCTATTCCGCTCATGCTCGAGATCGTCGCGTAACCCTTGCGTTACGCGATCAAAGAAGCTCTCGGGAACACACCGATCCACATGATCGTGTGGAGAGCGTCTTTCCTCCTCCTCCACCTCCATTAGAGGACTCTCGCGGTGGCCAGCGCTATCTAGTAGATCAGCTGTTGAACCACCGCGACGTGAACGGACGTCGGACGAGTTACCTCGTCCGGTGGCGCGGCTATCCCCCGTCCTGGGATTCTTGGGAGCCCCTCTCCCAATTGATGGTTGACGTACTGGGTCTGGTCGAGCAGTACGACGCGACACATCCTGTGCCGCAGAAGGACCGCCGGAGAAAGTCTTCCCGGCACGGTCGTAAAGGGATTTCAGGTTGTCAATCCCTTCGTACATCTCAGTAGAGACACGTACGCGCCACCACGGGCTGGTAAGGAGGTAAGCCTCCTTAGGTGCTCGTGCAGAGTTGTTCACACAACATGGGCACGAGTCTCCCCAAGAGAGGCAGGGTAATCCTTTCTCCCTTGACAGACGATGCAGCTTATAGCGTGCACCTGTCGGGGTTCGCTTTTCAAACTTATCACGAGCTTTGATAAGTTTGTCGTTCCAAGCGTCACGACCTACATCCTCGAGATTATGGATGTAGGCGTTCCACGCCTGAAGTAGTGAGGGACCATCACGTTTGTGATTCCCACTGTACCATCGATGTCTGAAGAAAGCATCGATGAAGAACTCATGTTCAGCGCGATAGTCTTTCGCGCTGGGGTCAAGGTGATGGATCCTTGACGAATCGAACAATCGTGTTCGATAACGATCACTCGTCGTCGCCGACAAGTGATCCATGACAGATTTAGGAGGCATCCATGCCTTCTTTTCTGGAGCGAGACGCAACACATTGCGGTCCCGCTCTTCCTGCGACGTGCCGACAGAAGTACTGGCACCTCGCTGTGAAGTGGTGTCCATTGGAGAAACGACACCACTATTAGCGCCCGAGTCTCGCGACCTCGAGCGCCTTCGCTTCGGCGATGGTTCATCTGACTCATCAGATGAACCGAAGATGCTGCGACGCAAAGCATCGTCCATGCCACGCTTGGCAGGCGGCTTGGATTCAATTGCCGTCGATACGGATCCGTCATCCGTATCAGGAGAGTACGAGACACCGAGCTCGTACTCTGTGAAGACACGAGTGTCTTCATGACCAGCGCCTGCATCACCAGGTGATACAGGCTGAGTCGATTCAGCAACCGATGGGACATCAGTTGCTGTAGTTTCTGCTTCGGCGTCCGCACAGAGACGTGCAGACGCGCTCTCGGCGGCCTTGCTCGCGCATCGCATGGGCTTGTTTACCATGCGATGAAACTGTTGGAATGTAGACTCGGACCAACAAGTGCAAACCCTGTCCCAAATGATTTGGGACGAGTATCCATTTTGTCAATCAGTCACCAAAGTGACTGATGGTTAGGGGGGTGATGTAACGGGGTGAATCGTTACATAACAATTTATAAGAAATTGTTAATAGAATATAACTATAAGAGTTATATTCTCAAAATATTGTCATAAGGACAATATTTCTGTAGCACTTCCAAGTAGTTCCTAATTGGTTGATATAGGCCATTATATCAACCAACGAAGACGCGCCACGACAGACGCACGCAATGAGTGGTGAGCAGATAACTGATTTACACATTTGTATTTAGACATAGTTAGATGAAGATAAATAGTGATTTATTGCAGACATTAACTATTATAAATACAGTTCTACTTTTACTCTAACCGAGTACTCGCTTCTTCTTACCGTCTTCCTCTGCACGTACGAGTGTACGTGAAGTTACGAGGCACCGCCTTATTCTGTTATCAGAATAAGTAGCTTGTACTGTCACCAGTACAAGCTTAGGCCCCGTTAACATAGAGGATAACTGTAACGGCACATGAAGCTTGTACTGGTAACAGTACAAGCTACCTATTCTGACGACATAATAAGGCGGTGCCTCGGGACTTCACGTAGAATGGTACGTGCAGAGGAAGACGGTAAGAAGAAGCGAGTACTTGGTTAAAGTAAAAAGTAGAACTGTATTTAGTATAGTTAATGTCTGCAATAAATCACCATTTATCTTAATCTAACTATGTCTAAATACAAATGTGTAAATCGACTATCTGCTCACCACTCATTGCGTGCGTCTGTCGTGGCGTGTCTTCGTTGGTTGATATAATGGCCTTTATCAACCAATTAGGAACCACTCGTAAGTGCTGCAGAATATTTGTCCTGATGACAAACTTCCGAGAATCTAACTCTCGTAGTTATATTCTATCAACAATTTCTTATAAATTGTTATGTAACGTTTCATCCCGTTACATCACCCCCCCTATCCATCACTCACATTAGTGACTGATTAACTAAACGGATACTCGTCCCAAATCATTTGGGACAGGGTTTGCACTTGTTGGTCCGAGTCTACATTCCAACAGTTTCATCGCATGGTTAACAAGGCCATGCGGTGCGCGAACAAGGCCGCTAAGAGCGCGTCTGCACGTCTCTGTGCGGACGCCGAAGCAGAAACCGCTGCAATCGATGTTTCATCGGTTGCTATAGCGTCTCAGTCTGGATCACCTCGTGATGCAGACGCTCGTCATGAAGACACTCATGTCTTCACAGAGTATGAGCTCGGTGTCTCATACTCTCCTGATACGGAAGTGGGATCTGTATCAACGGCGATTGAATCCAAGCCGCCTGCTAAGCGTGGCATGGATGATGCTACGCATCGTAGCATCTTTGGTTCGTCTGACGAATCAGATGGACCATCGCCAAAGCGAAGGCGTTCGAGATCGCGAGACTCGAGCGCTCACAGTGGAGTCGGTTCTCCTATTGACACCACTTCGCAGCGAGGTACCAGTACTTCCGTCGACACGTCGCAGGAAGAGCGGGACCGCAGCGTGTTGCGGTTCGCTCCCGAAAAGAAATCATGGATGCCTCCAAAGTCAGTCATGGATCGCTTGTCGGCGACGACAAGTGATCGCTTCTGAACACGATTGTTCGATTCATCAAGGATCCATCACCTTGACCGTAGTGCGAAAGCCTATCACACTGAGCATGGATTCTTCATCGATGCTTTCTTCAGACATCGATGGTACAGTAGTAATCACAAACGTGATGGTACCTCACTGCTTCAAGCGTGTAACGCTTACATCCATAACCTTGAGGATGTAGGTCGTGACGCTTGGAACGACAAACTTATTAAAGCTCGTGATAAGTTTGAGAAAAGAACCCCGACAGGTGCACGCTACAAGCTGCATCGTCTGTCTAGGGAGAAAGGATTACCCTGCCTCTCCTGGGGAGACTCGTGCCCTTTTTGTGTGAACAACACAGCGCGCGCACATAAGGAGGCTTACCTCCTTACTAGCCCGTGGTGGCGCGTACGTATCTATACTGAGATGTACGAAGGTATTGACAACATGAAATCCCTTTACGACCTTGCCGGGAATACTTTCTCCGGCGGTCCTTCTGCGGCAGAGGATGTGCCGTGTCGTACTGCTCAACCAGACCCAGTACGTCAATCATCAGTTGGGAGCGGGGCTCCCAAGTATCCCAGGACGGGGGATGACCGCGCCACCGGACGAGGTAACTCGACGTCCGTTCACGTCGCGGTGGTTCAACAGCTGCTCTACTAGATAGCGCTGGCCACCGCGAGAGTCCTTTAATGGAGGTGGAGGAGGAGGAAAGACGCTCTCCACACGATCATGTGGATCGGTGTGTTCCCGAGAGCTTCTTTGATCGCGTAACGCAAGGGTTACGCGACGATCTCGAGCATGAGCGGAATAGGCGTCTCCAGATGGTGGACACTGCCTCGAAGCATCGAGCTGAGTTTGCCTTTGCTCAGCTTGAGAACGAGAGATCTCTGACATCTCTGCGTGACGAGCTAAGGGTAGCTCGTGGGGAAATTGACCGTTCCCGGGCTGAGATAACTGCTCTTCAGACCCTTGTCGATATCCACCATCGGGAGCACAAGGCTTTTCAGTGAGATGCTTGAGCGCAAGGGCGTTCTTCATCGGAAGAAGCAGCGTACTGATGGTACGGCTTAAGCCGACCAACGTAAAACGTGGGAGGCGTCCGCATCTTACGTGGTAACTCGATCGTGTATGCATTGCCTAGGCGGTGCAATACACGAAATGGGCCGATGTACTTGGGTAGTAGTTTACTACTACCCAAGTTAGTCACTACATGCTTTGGTAGATTAACAGTAGACAGTACGACTTAGTCACCTTGATTGAATAAAAGAGTGTTTGCCCTTCCATTCTTGTCAGCGTTTTGCTTTTGCCTATACACCGCTTCAGCGATGGAATCTTGCACAAAACAGACTACCGTTTCACGAGCCAGTATGAACTTATCTGATGACTCGTTAGCTCCAGTGTGCTGTGAGCGCACTGCAGCGACAACAATCTTTTCTTCAGTGAGGGCTTCCGCACTCTCACTGGCATCATCTTCTTCGATATCGATGTTATCGATATCGGCATCAAACGCAATGACTTCTTCGTCAGAGCGTGATGAGCGTGAACCAAATCGATTTTTGCTCGCGCGAGTCCCTCCCCCCCTTAAACCAGATTCACACTCTAGTAAGGTGGGTACACGCGGATGGCGTAAGCCATTCACGTAAAACGGTGTATGTGTCGTGGACGCATGCACCGAGTTGTTGATGGCAAACTCTACCATTGGCAAAAACTCACTCCAACTCTTAAAGGAGTGTACGTATCCTCGAAGTATCTCTTCAAGGACACGATTGGCACGTTCCGTCTGACCATCTGAATCTGGATGATCAGACGTAGACATCTTCAAGCGCGTTACGAGTGATTTGAACACGGAACGCCAGAAATCAGCTGTGCTTCGTGGATCTCTGTCTGATACGAGTTCACGGGGTAACCCATGAAGTCGGAAGATGGTGTCAATAAAGACACAAGCACAGCCACTTGCTGTGATTGACTCTGGTACAGCCACAAGGTTGACCATTTTGCTGAATCTGTCAACAAGTACAAACAATACCCGTATTCCCGCGTCTTTGGGTAACCCGACGACAAAATCCATTGAGATGGATTCCCAGCGCTCTGCCGGAACCGGTAGAGGCTGTAAAGGTGCACGCAGTGAAGGACTTGACTTCACTCGTTGACAGAATTCGCATGTGCGAACATACTTTCGCACAACTGATACTGGCGGGGCCAGTAAAAGTCTCGACTCACCGTGAGATGTATTTTCTCACGGCCGCGATGTCCTCCTATAGGAGCATCGTGATACTCGAACATGATCCGCAAACGCAGAGCAGTATCATCTGGACTGACAACACGTGGTGTATCACCAGTAACGGCTGTATAATACAGTAAAGCTTTGCGAGTAGTGTATCGATCTGATGCAGATCGATACGCAGACGATAATCGTTTCAACGATTCTCGAGATGGTTGGGAGAGATGTGACAACAACTTCACTATCTCACCATCTTGGGCGTATGCCCGCCTCACATCATCATACAACGTTGACGATGGCATTGTGGACGTCATAACCGCAACAGTGGCTGCTTTACTGTTGGGTTTCACGACTGATTCAAAGTCGGGACGACGTGAGAGTGCATCAGCGACAACATTAAGTCGTCCTGGTTTGTACCCTACCGTAAAGTTGTATTCTGCAAAGAATGACAACCACCGCGCCATTCGTTGTGAAAGGTGCGGGCTGTTCACTGCCGTGCGTAAGGACGCATGGTCAGTGTAAACAACGAAGGGTCTATCTCCTAATAGATAGACTCTGAACTTCGCGAGTGCATACTTCATGGCAAGGAGTTCCTTGTCATGCACTGGATAGTTCCGCTCAGCTGGTTGCAGCTGACGCGACTGATAGCAGACGACGCGTTCAACGCCTTCAAGGTCGTACTGCATTAATGCACAGCCGATTGCGAAATCGCTGGCATCACAGACCACATGAAATGGCCTGTCCTGATCGGCTATTGCTAGGAATGGGGATTGTATCAAGCTCTGCTTGATACCCTCAAAGGAGCGTTGACATTCAGCGTTCCATAACCACCTCTCGTTCTTTTTCAACAAACGAGAGAGGTGTACAGTCATCTCGGCGTAATTGCGTGAATACTTATGCAAATACGCCGCTAGCCCAAGGAATTTTCGAAGACCTTTGACATCGACCGGCACGGGCCAGTCGGTGATCGCCTTGATCTTTTCGGGATCAGGACGTACACCGTTCTTACCAACGATGCACCCAAGAAGTGGTATTTCGCTTGCTGCAAATATACATTTCTTGAGGTTTGCATACAATTGATGCTTTCGCGTGATTGTAAGAACTTGTCGGACGTGGTACTTGTGAACCTCAACGTCCGAATTTCCATCCATAGCTCGACTATGGATGAATACGTCATCGAAATAACTCGGTGCGAATTCTCGTACTGGTCTCAACAGATGTGATACACATCTGTTGAACGTGGCAGGGGCATTACTAAGCCCTTGTGGCATTACTAGCCATTCCCAGAACATGCCGCTAGGCGTGCTAACTGCGGTATAGGGTATATCCCGTTCTCGCATAAGGATTTTATAGAAGCCATCCATCAAATCCATGGACGAAAAGATGGTACTCTTTGACATACCATCAATGATTACGTCCTTCCTTGGTATCGGCGTCTGAGCCGGTACCGTTGCAGCATTCAACTTGTTAAATACATGCACTATCCGCCACCCTCCTATTGTTTTTCGCGCACAGAAGGTCAGAGAGCTATGTGGGGAAGTTGATTCCCTCACATGGCCCGCAGCTAAACGATCGGCAAAGAAATTGTCGATCGCAAGTACTTGTTCACGAGGCAGTGGGCACTGCTTCATGACACAGTACTTCGAGCCTGGTTTAAGCTCGACCTCGTGTTGAGTACCTTTATCCTTCGGTAATTCGCACGGAACAGTTTCAGGGAATACATCCTTGAATTCAACCAAATCTTTATAGAGAGGATTTGTCTTGAGCGATTCCCACGATTGGGATTCATATCGCTCAACTCGTGTCTTTTCATCGAGGACACTCTTGTCCATCGATGAACTACTGAGAACTCTCTCGTTCTAAGTAAGCATTGTTGCTGACCTTATGTCGGCTACACACTCGTCGTCAGCGACGAGTACGCAGATCTGCTTGACTTTTCCACTACGCAGATCACGCAAGAACCTTTTATGTTCGAGCGTTGGCAACTGTGTGATCTCCAAAGTCAACTTCGGAGGCGCAATCAGATCAAGTGCATAAGCGCCTACATTTGATCCATCATTGACTATGACATTCAATGTCTCTGTCATTTCCTGGGGACTTATTCCCTCAGGCCTCGAAGGACTTATTCCTTCGTCTTCCCGGGGACTTATTCCCTCGAGTTTCGAGGAACTTATTTCCGCCGTATTTGTAATATCGGGACTTATTCCCTTAACTTCCTCTGGCTGGGGTTACGCAACCACAGCGAGATCCTCTACGAAAGAATCTCCAGTCGATCTAGGATTATCGTTTCGCTTAACCTGAGCGATCGATGGTTTCTCTTCTAGATGTTCCCCTCTAGGGATACATCTTTGTCCCAGTCCACCCGACTTATTCGAGTGGTGGACCTTCGGCGCAGCCTGTGTTTCCTCACAGCCGCCGGAACTTTGCTCCGAAGTGTAACCGTTTGGTACACTAAGGTTTTGTGCAGTCGTACTAACGACCGTACCACAAGTGAGGCCATCGCACTCACTCGTAGTACATCCACACGCTTGTGTACTCTCCAAAACGTTCATCAGATGGCCATCTGATGAACAAGCGGCAGGCATCGTTACTGTCCGATGTTGCCAGTTTACCCGTGGTTCGTACCTTCTGAGCCACGGTATTCCAAGGATGACATCAAATTTGTCATCCAAATCCAATACGATAAAGTCATCGTCGTATTGGGTATCTTCTAGCGTATAGTGAATCTTCACTATACGCTTCATGACGGTTACGGATGCGCCTGTCGCAAGACGTACCATCATCCTCGTAGGAGGTGTGTCACATTCACTGAATTTAAAGTGACCATCTTCTAGCGATTGGCGTCGCACAAAATTGTTGGACGCCCCACAATCGACTAGAGCTCGAAGGGACAACTTATTCGTCACTTCGAGTTTCAAGGTAATGAGTGAGATCTCATTACCTAGAGCAGCAACGCACAATGTCTGTGTGTTGGGAGCAACCTTCATCAAGAGGCCTACAAATTCTCTTGACGTTGCTGGATCAGTAGGGTGCTCCGCACCTACTGATCCTGTCCGTTTTTTGACGGTCCATCCCGTTGTTGCGTCTTTGCACCAACTGCGGACCCTCGTCCCTGCCCCTTTCTCATGGGTGGACGGTCACTACGCCCAGTATCGCGAGACACTGGACGAGGGGCACTACACTCGTTAGCGTAGTGTCCTGTCTTTTGACATCTGTTTCATCTCTGCAACTTCTTGTAGCCTGTAGAGCGAGCCTTCTCGCTCTCTACATAACAGAGTTCCATCGGCTCTGGACCTCCGTTGTCATATCGTCTCGGTTGACGATATGATGTCGAGCTGGCGCGAGCCTGTCTCAGACTGAAGTCTTCCTGCTCCGCAATGGAAATGGTTGTTCTAGTGAATCTAGTTCAAGCCGAAACAGGTGAGTCTTGACGGGACCATCCGCAAGACCCTGCATGAACACCGAAACCAGCGTGTGTTCATCCACCGGATTGGAACTTATACAACTCGTGAGATTTCGTAGATGTTGCGCGTAAGCGTGCACATCACGCTTACCCTGTTTGAGCTTCAAGAGTTCGGTTCAAGCTCTGAACTCAGCTCTAGGCGGTTCAAACGTTTGTCTGAGCCGCGACTTGAAGACTTCTAACGACTCAAACGCATACGGGTCGTGCAACTTGAGCCCCGATGCCCAATTCTTGGCACGTCCTGCCAGATTTGACTGGGCAAATGCAACTTGCATTACCCCATCGTCGATGCGACGCGCCCTTGTGGCGTCGTCTAATTCGACAAACCATCTCAAGAGGGAGTCCTCTTCGACT